AGGGGTGATGGACAGCTCTTTTGAAGAGGATAAGTGACATTTCAACAAAATCTTTAGAGAGTTTTGATTCCATGCTTCTAAGCACTATGGTTCCTAGTCACTCTACAGAAACGCAAGGATCTCTTTATATGCATTTATTGGGGTTTATTTACTAATCGGGCTGGCTATTATCGGTTTCCCTGGACATCACATATTCGCGCATTTCAGTGACAAATGGTAGAAGTTCTATTTCTTTCCCACCTTCCTTTCTCTCTTTCCAGTTCTTCGCATCGAATTCGATTTCCTTTACACACCTAGCCTCCATGTCTGACTTACACGATGTTCGTTGTAGGTTTTACGGTGAACAGTTTCGGCAAACATCTTAGAACATCTTCGGTCTCCATCTGCATACATTCCGTTCAAACACAAACTTTGTAATGCTTGAACAGCTGATGGAGCCTTCGCAAGAAAATAGTTGTTCTTAGTGAGTCGCAAATTCATGACCATATTGTCTGAGAACCACTTGCATTCTGAAGTGATCTGCATTAGGTAGTTCGAAGGCACAGTTTACGACAATTTCAAGGTACCCGTTTTTAATCAAAAAGCGCAAGTATAGATTGAGAGTAGTTCATCAGTTGTAAAAAAAAGTGAGAGAATTCGCCGATTACGAGAAAAATATGGCTCCTCAAAAGTAAGGAAAATAGAGTTTGGAAGAGATTGCCATGACGAAAATAACACGGAGGGGATAATCGGAGGGCTTTTAATTATTGCAACTGCGCAAAGAGCTGAATATATCAAGCCAGAGCTGCACAAAACTGTCTTTCACTGTCGCCATGGGTCATGACAAGTTGTTTTAACTTCCTACATGGGTTTCCTTGTGATCGGTGCATCATCTATAACGCCGGTGAAACTCGTCTAAGGATACACACGGGCCAATCTTTGAGCCATAATAACTCCCCAACAAGGCCGTTTTCCGATCCAATAGTGCCAGATATCGTATACGCGGGGGCCTCAAATTCACAATATAGGGGAACCTCAGAAGCCGTTTTTATTATAAACTGTGCCTTTAATGAAGTTGGCTTTGACGTGCAGGCATACTGCCGTCTCCCGAACTTGCACATTGACGTTCTCAAGGCCGAAGCTTTGCTTGTATTGTTCACTTGAGTAATAAAAAGACAACACCAATGCCCAGGAGAGTTACACCTGCTTCATAGCAACCTCTTCGTAACCACTTCATCATGACTTTTTTATCCGACCGTCTGCCAATGATTGTCTTCGCTGCCAATCAACCCTAGTGCAACTCCAACAACTTCACGTCGTCTCTACATGTCGCTCAGCACTTCCTCGAACAACCTTGATCGTCAGTTCTTTTTCTGGTGCATAATCCGACAAGTGAAACTACTGGGACTAGCGTTCTTGTGGAACAAGTTGTGGGTTTCGGCTTATCAAGTCTGCTTCATGCTTGGGTGGATGTTTCTTGGCACGTTTATAGAACACATAAACAAATAAATAAATGAGGAAGCAATCAAATAGATGAGCAAACAATGCTCTGGGTTCAACTTACGAATCGAAGAACCTTTGACATCCTATACGATTAATGTAACGACTCCTTTAAGTCATCTGGTGTATCCACTACTGTCTTTATTTCCTTAGGTGAAACTAGTATTTCTAAGAAGAAACTTGACGAAGGCCATGTTAAACCTTGTCAAAAAAAANAAAAAAAACGATTCTCCGATGCAATCTAGGTTGTAAATGAGTACATGGAACCCGTTTTACGCTCTTATAAAACCGAGAGCAGTATGATGCTTGAGATGTTTCAAAAATAATATAGGACCTCCTCATACCAGTCCAGTACCAGCTTTACTTTAGAAGTTCCGTGAAAAGTTTCTCAACCACTTCCTCTTCGATCTCCTTTGATGTTTATCTGAACTATCTTAGCAAAATTATCAGCTCAATCATTCCCTACATCTGCACTTTGTGCTCAAAATGGCTTCCTTATAAGCCACTTGCCTTTAAAGCTTTACACTACCAAGACTACAAGAGTACACTTTTAGTATGATACCTAGTTGTACTCTTTAGAATTGCAACAGTGAACCACTTAATCTGCCAACATTCAAATCTACTTTTTTAGCTGTAGTTTTATCCCAATGTTGTAAGTACTAAATAAATGTTCCAATATTTTTCCATACTACTGCCCAAAATTTTGAAAAGCACTTCCACAAAGCTCTACCTTCTACTTCTACCTACCATGGTAAGAGAACATCTAGGCAGTGGTTTTGTGGGAATCATCCTAATTTTAATATACTACTAAGCTGTAGACCTTGGCATATTCCCTTGAGATAACTTTCACCTTAGAGTCACTGCTTATGAAGGTGGAGGGAGGGCTTCTTGTTTGACACGCACGTTGAAAAAGCGAGAACATACCAAAAGTGGGCGGGGCTTCTCCACAACCAACGTCCCACGAACTTACCATTCATTATGCAGCCCGGGGGCGCACTATTCGACACCTTAGGCTCACGTCGGAAAGAACTCGCCCTTTTCAACTTTGGCCCTTCAACTAAAAGTCAACTTGTCAGTCACTCTAAAGTTTCTGCTGTATCTACTTCTAACATTTTTGTTAGTAACAATATCTACGGTATCCATGGAAATGGTAGCCCCTTTCCAAACATTTTTTTCATGAATAAACCCTCAACTAGTTATTGGAATGAATAAACTCTGAACAGCTTGAAGATAGCTATTCATTCCTGTGACGAACACAACTGCCAAAAAATGGAGTACAGTTTAGCACGTACTCATTTGAACGTACACGTCTTTCGAGAAATCGTTTGGAGGTCTTTCTTGCAAGTCTTCCACTTTCTCCAAGAATGATGGCCACTTTGAAATCTAATATACTAGTTCTCTAACCTGTTTCTATTAACTCATCTTACCCATAGACACTGTTGAGTACAGATAATAAATCTCATGTGGCTCGTTCTCCCTATGTCAGAATCAAACGGCTGAAAACGGGCGGAGCTGGTGGAAGGAATATTCCTTTTTGCTGAATACTTCCAATTCTTGTTATATCACTGCTGCTAAGCCGACGTGAGTCTTTGTTCAATATAAAACGACTCATTTTCGGCAAGTACTGTTTTTGTAGTCGCCAGTACGTACCTTACTTACTTCGTTACTTTGAGTGGGCCCAAAAAGAAGTTAGGACCCTAATTTTTTACATTGTCCATGAGAGGAGTGGCGTGTTCAATGTGCAAATCATTGACCAGTCTGATGTGAATGATTGTGGTCGTGACTTTAGAGCTAGCCGCAGATCATAACAGGTTCGATCTGGCCAGCGACGACCACCATATCAGATCCGTCGCTCAAGCTTCCTGAGTCCCACACACACCCACACATACACAAATACACCCACACACACTGGATGAGAACGCATCGTCTTCCCGCCTATTACTGTTCATTACATCTCCATCATAGACCGACAATGCATACCAGTATTGTAGGGCATGTTGTATGTTGTTTCTGCTGCTGCTGCTGCTACTGTTGGTGGTCGCAGTGCGAACATTCCGGTTTCGCGTCTTCATTCTAGCGCTCTCTTCAACATTTGATACCCAACACCGCAGTCCCATGGCTGTCTCTTATCTTTCAGCCAAATCATCACTAGGTGATCTCACTTGCGCTAGATTCCCACACCATACTTTAGTGTTTCGTATTCGCCGCCGTTTTATCATTTCTTTCTCGAGCTTCGTTCGAGTGTTTTTGCAAGACTTCTAGACAATCTGTACTGCTTCAGATATGTTACTGTTCGTATTATTATCAGCTCTAGTAGTGAAATCCTTCGCTCAGAACGAAATCGATTTCGACAATCCCGGTGTGAGTTTCGATACGCTTCTTTCCTTTTCTTTATCTTAGACCGTTTCTGAGACCATGACATCTCGACAACTAATACAGTGGCCTCTATGAAATACTGAGTCTATCACTTAAAAGTCTTGAAGACGAGCACAATATTCACCTTGCAAGGTTTGTACGAGATGACTCTCTCTACAGTAGTTTCAGAATATTTTACATGAAGACTGTACAGCACGTCAATCGTCAGCGCTACGACATCCGCAAAATTGCGTGTCTGGAACGGCATGATCGATGAGGAACTTCTACGATATAGTTGCACTGTGCTAAGGGAAAAAAGTGGAGAAATCGATTTTCCTTCGTGATGCGTCGTGCAATCCACTTTCATTCCGAACAGCACATACCGTTCGGTAACAGAAATGGCACCGCCATCATCGCAGAACTTTCCCTTCCTTCTGTTGAAGCGACGTGACCGACCTGGAAGTCCTGGGAGTGTTGAGGTTGGATTGATCGGTTGGTCTCGGGGTTAACCAGTTCGTGAAGGAAGGTTACGGCACCGGAATGGGTGTGTTACACAGAAGTGTTAAGTCATCCCCTCAACTGATGATTTGTAGGCACAGTGAGCCTTTGTGTCCTATGACTCGCTTCGTCTTTGAAAAAGCAAAGTGATTTCCTCGAAAAGAAACATAAACCCGATCTAATGTGGTGTAATCAGTATACGTATTGATCCGCTCCCCTGGTGCCCGATGCCCCCAACGACGAGACCGAAAAGAATGCGTACGGGTAGTGAATGTAACAACTCGTTTGAGTGCAAGTTCAGTTTTTTTTTNTTTTTTTTTCTTTTCGTGGAGTGATATGCTAATTCAATCACCGTTTGATAAAAAGTTTTCGCGATCTGTATCGCTCGGGGTGAAATCAAGTGAAAGAACGGAAGATGATGGATTTCTGGTGAATCGCAATGAGTTTTCTCGAAAATAATGCCGCAGTTCGCAGTTTGTAGCAGACTTATGATCTGATGAAGAGAACACCTGCATACTATTGCATTCAGCGATCATCTGAGCATGTAGTAATACCCGGTCACCATGAAAAATGCCGTAGAAGCAAACCAACTGGAGTCGAATCGTTTGAGTGGCTCTGCTTATGTATGTGCGGATTGGAAACAAGAAAGGTGAAGCCACGTAAGAATACGGTTCAATGGAATACCACATGACGAGAATATGGGTAAAGTTTTGGTTTTCATACCCGTTGCCCAGATTACCAACTGATACCTCCTCAAAATCGTTGGATAGAAGGAGGCACAGCTCTCAGCATGTATGTATGTTGAAAACATACCAGTGAAGGCAACACCCAGAGTCATTTTTCGTAGTCCACAATCCAAACTGTCTATTTGATTATCTTCAGCAACCTCGTAACCATTTTTTTTCAGAATTGCGGTACCGCCGACTCCAACTGGAAGCCATGTATAGAAAGAAAAATCGCTGATCAAGTGTTTGGCTCGTGTTGTGAACGATTTGTTCCACCTGAGTGCCGTGGCCTATGCATCTACGAGACGAATGCGATTGAAGCCAGAGTCGTGGTGGGTACATCTGTTCAGGATTTACAAGTGTTGTTGTCATGTAGCAGTTTGAGGAGCCCATCTAGATGGGATGTATCATGGGAAAAAACTATGAGCACTCGGATTGTTTGAGCTGTCTCTAACGCAAAAAATATCGGATCATCTGATAAAATAAGGGCAGTTGGAATATTTATTTCAAAGCCCTTTTTTCGAAGCATGGCATATCGTTAGAGTTTCTTCCCTAGTTGAGCTTTGACACCTATAATGCTCGTGCTGCAGGTTCAGAAAGCATAGAAATGAGGGATTCAGTCAGGAGAAGATGTATAAGTTGCAAGCCCCCCCCCCTGAATTCGGTAAAGCTTCACGTATGTGCTATTGATGTATTATTGTAGTCGGGTTCAAATCTCGTTGTAGCCCATAAAACCAATTTTGTAGTTCCAAATCATTGAAATCCTTGGAAGTACTCCCGTTCCAAAGCCCGTTAGCCTGTCATCTACAAGGCTACTCATCACAGGCCATGGGTGAATACTGCACCCTAACGAAGCAGAGCTCATGACGATTATTTGAGCCTTTTAAGTCTGTATTTCGCATAATTACATTTGCAGTGAGTTTATCCTATGCTGCGGATTTCAATTTTTGACGAGGTTTTCTGCGAGCTGTGCCTTCCACCATCACCATTTTCAATTTTTTATGGGCTCTGTTTTTTTCTCATGATGATGTAGAATATTGAAGCATTGATGGGGCTGCAGGCTTGATTGGGAGGCAGGTTCACTTCGAGGCTTTCGAGCTTCTGTTCCACCCTATCTAGACTGCTTCTCCAGTGTAAGTGCCTAAGTAATCTTCTCAGAGGCAATAGACTTTCTAGTGGTGAATTTCCAAACCGATCCTATCAATGATGCGTTTTTGATTTTTTTAAAATTTCATCCTATTCATTCTCTGAAAGAACTTTTCAGACATGATGACCCTTTCGTCTCGCTCCTTAGGGTAACCCTGACAAAGAACAAAGAGAGAACCGTTTAGCATGCACACACCCCAAGAAAAATTCATGTAACGAATTTATACCTGTGAAAGAACTCGTGCTTTAGGCTTTTCGTTGATGAAGTAGTGCAAAAAGACCCATATGACTGACATCTTTGATAGCACTACTGTAGTGATAAGCTTGAACTGAAGCTGAAACAGAAAAATGCAAATTGTTCCCCTTGAACCAAAAAGTTGTTTTTTGGATGTGATTTTTTACTCCTCTGCAGAAACGCCGAGTCAGGATAAGTCGCATATGCTGCGCAAAATCTATAGATACACAATTTTAAAAAGCGAATCGCATCAGCGGAATTTTCCACTTCAAATGAAATGAAATTCTGACCAAGGACTTGTAAAGACTTCGTTGGAGCCACAAATTCTTTCAAGTAGTGGGCTTCCTGTCGAGAACAGTCTCTTTCAGTTTTGTTGCATCTCAGTGACTCTGGAATGTACCATTTCTCCTCTTTTTTCAGAGTAAAAGTAACTAATGTCCGTTCAAGCATATGCATTTATGATAATCCAACAACTATCGTAAATCTAGCTACTGGAACGGAAGTCAGAACTGCAAATGATACCATGACCAAGGCTTCGCAGAGCAAAAATCAGAAAAAGGAGCTTCTCTACCGCAAGAGGCTTGCTTCAACAAGAGATACAATGTCAGTCACACCGTAACACGGTTGGAAACTGTACAACAAACATTTCTCTAATTCGTGTTCACAACTGGCTACTTACAGCCGTCCTATCAGGACGATAAACCATTGCTTAGGCTTGCTATGGAATGATAAAGCATAAGAACTTTGGACGGTAATCAATCCCCTCTAAAGGATGGGCCCCGCACTCGGCCTCCATTTAGAATCGTAGTGGCGTAAGGAAAGCGTATTTGGCCTATACAACGACTTGGGACGGCCAGCCGATGTCCAGGTCGGTGTATTTATGCTCCCAAACGAGCATAGTAAAAGTTAACCAATCCCGGAGAGATAGAAGGCTTGGTTGGCATAGAGATATCGGGCCGGGATTCGAACCCGAATCCATGCGTTAGTGAAAGGCGCCATTTGGCGCTACATCAACTCTCCCTTTAACTGAAGCAGTTATTGTCCTAAATTCTCTTACCCTTGCTGGTCCCTTACTGCGACTGGACCATGCATGAGGCAGTACACCATTTGGCACTACACCTCCTTGTGACTCCCAAGGATTGCCTAAGAGACGCTGTTAAGTCGAAAACGGTCAAGATAGGGCGTATCAAGGGCCCCAAAACCGGCTCATCCGACTTGCACACCACAGGCGGACGAGATCCTAAACGTTGTAAAATCTGTAGAGGTTGCATCATTTGCACCAAGACCCACCAGACACCAGTTGCTCGTAGGCAATTCATTGCAGCCAGCTGCATGCAATCGCGCGTACATCTGAACAGCTTTTCCGAGCACTCCTTCCAACCATCTTCTGTCGAAATGTCCTCGTCCAACCCCGTGGTTTAACTTCTTTTTTTAAGCTCCTTATGTATTTGTGAATACGGCGGTTCCCACGTGCTCTTCGCCACTTTCGCACTATTCTGTGCTATCACTTCCATTACTATTTCAAAACTAGGCACTTCAAAATGATCTTAAGTCTGGCCTTCAAAAAAAAATCATTAACAATGTACTTATACAGAAGTCAGTCTAAGCTGTTCTACATTTTTATCGCTTTGTATTCCAGCTGATGCACACTATCCAACCTTCACGTTGTCGACTCTACAAGTACTTGCCTTCCATCGTTCACTGTGCCGCTCAGACTCACGATAACGCGGAATGCTGTCGTGCAAACGGTGTCGCTCAAATCGGCGAGCAATGCCTTCAAATGTGCCAACCACAGGTATGGGTCTCTCTCCATTACTTTTTGTCATTGATATTTGCAGCATAAGAAAGTTATAAAGAGGTAGAAGTTCAATAATGAGCTTACTATTACGTCTACCATGGGTGCGCTTCCTTGCACGCGTCCGTCAAAGCTAGGTCACGCCGCAGCCGTGCGACACGTCAGCCCGCGATCTTTGACAAACGTCGCAGTAGCTGTGGGGCATACGATTTGCGCTTGGTCCACAGCAGTCAGACAAAGGGAAGATAACACGGACAAATGCAAATCGTTCGCTTCACTGACACTTGATAGTACTGTAATGTCATGCCAAGACCTAAGTTGGGGTGCGCCGCGCGCGGAGTGGATGAGGTGACCTACTTTCGACGGACGCGCGCAACGGACGTTCTCCGTCTACCATAGTCTATAGCCCTCATCAACGGTGACTTTCACCTGCCATTTTCCCTGTACTCGTCTTCCTTTTACCAATAATGTAGTTAGAAATGTTAGAAACAACCTTGGAGGTTTGGACAAATTGCCTTACAAGGGCTTGTTGCTCTTCGGTAAGGTCCATCGCACCATTGCGCCCTTCAACTACTTCGCTCTTGACAACTCGTAATTTCACAACAGCTAATAAGTTGGGATCTTCCATAGTCGCCGCTCTTCATCCTTGTTTCATGTAGTATTTCTAACCAGTTGCGACTACTCTACAACGACTACGGTTATTCCATTAGGGGTTTTGATCAAATTAGCGGCGTACGTTAATCCAGAGCGACAATCCGTGGGCGAGTCTACCAGCTAATAATGAAGGATAAGGACAAAGACTTTAGCGTTAATCAAGCCCGTTCTGGGATACTCACCATCCCACTGTCCCATGCTAAACCGTTATGGCGTTTTCGAATGCATAGATAGCCAACCGATCAAAAAGTCAGTGCTTCAGTACTCCTAGACGAGCATTATACTAATTAATCAACCGGGGATTCGAACTCCGGAGTTTGATAGTGCGCCACTTGCCACTACACCACGTCCGTCCAAGGCTTCAAGCTTACAACCACACAGCCTATCAAGACATGGCTTGCGGTGGGGCAACTATCAGTATGGGGCCACTATGGGGGTTCGTGCTAGCAGAATGGGACCAACTCTCGATTACGAAGCAGCAGATCGAGACGAGGTGATAAGATGCATCCACTCGAATGAACCCTTCAAAATTTTCACTTTTCTGAAATTTAGATTTGTAGTTTTCTATTATTTTAAGTACATACACGTTATGATATAATAAGTTTCTGAGGTGTGAACTTAATGAAATTACAATTAGACCGTCTGCTGTACATACATATGTAGTAGACATCTGAAATAGCATTTGCTCCTTTAAAGGGACACACAATCGATGGCAGCGTCTTCTACGCTTGCATTGAGTGGTGACACTGAACTCAAAAATCGTATCGAAAAGAAAATGCGGCCTTCGTAACCGATCTACCAGAATTCTCGTTTCTTCATGCCTCCCTAATAAGTGCTTCGTTGCAGGACAATCCCCGACGTTTCTGGGGAGCAAAGTCGCTACGAAAGGATCTGGTGGTATGTCTTGCAAAGTGGGACCAAATTATGCAATGCCATCAATCGGGTCTTCGTGCAAGGAAAGTGCCCAGGCCAACTGCTTAAGACAATGATTCACTTCTCCATCGCCTTACTATGACCGATTGAAGACGATTTTCAACATCGCTAGGGTTCCATTTTTGACCAAATTTTGTTGTTCACTTTCCAATGCAGTCTCTCCGCACAATAATACATGTATTGTCAGATTGTGATGAATTTTTTTTATGCTATATAAATTGATTTTTCCCTATAAATCAGGCTAATAATTGCCAAGAGTTTACAGAATATTCTTAGGGCACATACATTTACAGGCAACAAAAATAAGGGACTCGTGTTTTTCACCTGAAATTGGTTGAAGGAAGTTCCATAAGCAACCTTGGAATTGGCTCCTTATGCTACCTTACTACTTTACCCTCTACCGAATTAAGCTGACGGAACAGAATGATTCGGCCTGGCCATGGAAAAAGGTAGGACTTAATAATTTTTGACTTACCAATAGTCTTGCACCTTCTATTGAAATTGCCCATCTAAATGCGACCAAATCGATTCTTATGATTAGAACAGATGTAATATGGTGGCTTAAGGCAATCCCATTTCAGCCAACGGATCTCATTTTCAAACAGCTATTTAGAATAGTCTTAGTAATAGATAGTAGCAGAAAACCGGGGGTGGTGCAGTAGGAACGAAATTGTCGCGTCGCGCGAGAGAAACGTCGCGCGCGAAGGAATGTAGCAGAATGTAGCAGCAAGTCAGAAATACAGGAACAAAAGAAATAACAGTAGGACAATGCCATGAGTAATAATCGCATAGCGATTGAGATGTATGAAGTACGCTGGAACTGCTATAACGAGGCAAATGGTCCGCGACAGCCGCGTGCGTCGGATCGATTTCACAAAACCGTTCCTACTGCCCGTCTCCCCAGAATACCGAAATGAGAACGTGTCATGTATCCGATAGAAAAGGTTGGTGAAACTCTACCGTTAAGGTATTGTGACGATAACGTTTCCCATGTTTCAAGGCCGAGGGCTCCGCATATGCAACCAGTGCTGAGTCATCCCCTCCACCACCCCTTGCGTTTTTTCTTTCTTTGTCACATATTGCGGTTTCTTCAGCGGTTGCTGTTAGCATCTTCTGCAAAACAGCTGCTGAATTCACTCTGTCTGAACCCCTCATCATTATTTGTTGGACGGTTTCATATAATTGACCACTCTGCAAACCAATTCCATTCTGGACTCTGCAGACTTTTTGTAGATGCAGTGCTATTTCTTTAATCTCTGCTACTTCCCTCGGGGAGGCTGAAAAAGCTTGCTTCCCCCATAAAAACACCTTTTCAAAAAATCGCGAGCCCTAACAACACTCTTTTTTTCAACCAAGCAAAAATATAACTAATATTATAAACTTTTCAAACGCATATTTGTTAAGTTTTATCCTCGAAAATGGTTTATAACAAATTTGAGAGCATTTGGAAAATAAAGCAGTAAAAACTAGGAAAATTGACAAGTAAGAAACGTTCGTGTAATACTATAAAAAATAAACGAAATAAAAAAATCTCGATTTGTTTCGAATGCTTTCTTCCATTCTCATAAACGAGAAACTGAAATTGCAAAATTGTCAGCTACAATGGGCTCTGCCTCACGAAGCGTTTGAAAGTTTGATACGCAAGTAGTCTAAACAGGCGACTGCCCTGATAATTAACTTGGATTCTACCTGATCTGCGAGTGTTTGATGTAGTTAATATCTTCAAGTCCTTGAACGTCTTTATTAAAAGCTTCATCAGGCTAGTGTTTTAGCGGTATCGCTTTCTTTGGAGCCTGAAGTCTATTAGAAGCAGCCTGTGAATATTCGATTGAACTTTTCATCACTTTACCTGAAGATCGAGACCCCGCAGGGCAAGCAAGCAGTCTATAAAAGGGCCAATCACCGTGGCTTTGTGGGCTTCTCGAAATCACCTTAAATCATAGTAGGGCCAGTGTCAGCTGGGCTTAGTGTTTATCGCGATCACTCTGGAAAGGCCAACTCTATATAAGCTCTCGGTTCCCACGAATTGTGCCACATTCGACCTTTCGATTTATCCATCTTGAGCTGTGAGTTGTGTGTTTGAATTTCCCTCAGGTTGATTAGGAGGTGAGCAACTCTAAATTATATGAACGAATAATATAAACAAAGATTTTGTCAACAATTATTACAAACAATAAAGCATACATGCACACTTTGTTATATTAATAGTTCCGGAGATTTCATCTTTCAAATGTGCAGCAATGTTATTCATGTTCTTTGTAGGATGGTTTCTCACATGTGAACGATGTTCTCATCTTTCCATTCAGGAAACGGCATTGTCATTTGAATTTGCATCACCAATATAATCAATTTATCACCTGCACTCCCGTTGTTTGTCGATTTCCTCGAGCGGGCGCCAGTAACGTCTCCATTCGTCCCTGTCGCGAGCCAGAGTAGTCCAGTGAATCGTGTGCTCACTCGAGAGACATGAGGCAATGATTCCTTTCGCTCAGGCTTTCGTGAAGAAGTCTGACCATCTCTTTGGCGGCCGTCCTGGTGTTCGCCTGACGTCCCGAGGGATCCAGTTCGTAAACGCCCTGGTCCTACGATCATCACTATATCGCATAACGTGGCCGGCCCACCTGATTTTCGATCTCTTGGCGTAATCGACGGCATTCCTGAACTTCTTCCGTCGACGGAGCTCGAAACTCCGAATTCCCCTCTGTACTTGCATGTATAGGGAAATTCCGAGCAGCGTCCTTTCCACAGCGCGTTGTATGACGCTAACTGCATGCTCATCCTGCTCTCGTAGAGTCGAAATCTCTAGGCGTATGTCTAAGCAGGAAGGGCTTCAGTATCAAAAAGACGAGCGCGGAGCCGGATGTTCTTCGTCTTTTTCACTACTCCTTGGCCGTTCATCATATTGACTTCTCAAACTAGATAAACATAGCTGGAGCATACAGAACTCTGTATATATAGGTGTTATAAGCTGTAAGTTGGGTGTTATAAGCACGATGTCATCTGCAAAGCGGAGATGATGTAAGTAGCGGCCGTCGACCTTCACTCCCATGCTTTCCCATTCCATATGACGCATGATATTCTCGAGAGCGGCTTTGACAAGTTGGGCGAAATTGTATCGCCCTGCCGGACACCTCTCTTCACGTTGATAATGACTTTCTTGTAGAATGGTGAAATTCTGGTCGTGAAATTGTCGTAGAGCTCACGAAGCATCCTCATATATTGATTAGGAACCTCTGGTTGCCCAGGGCTTCAATTACCGCTTCTGTCTCAACGGTATCGAAGGTTTCTTCAAATCGATGAACGTAAGGCATAACGGCATTTTGTACTTCCGCGGTACTTCAATGAGTCTTGTAAGGGCGTGAATGTGATCGATTGTACTGAATCCTCTCTGAAACCCTGCTTGCTCGAATGGCTGTCCTTCTTCCAATATTCTGCCGAGCCTGTTGAGGATGACAAGTGTGAACAGTTTGTAGGTTGTAGACAGCAGGCAAATTGGACGATAATTGCCAATATCGTCCGGATCTCCCTTTTTGTACAGCAACACAGTCTTGCTAGTTTTCCACGACGTGGGCACCCTGCATTGCGACAGGTACAGCGTGAAAAGCCTAGCCAGGGTTCTACCAA